ACAAAGGTTGACCGGTTTCAGCCTACTATCCTTGACATTAAGTAGGTAAAGCACTTTGAAATCATAATTAGATATTCCTAAGTAAGTACACAAACAAATCACAAGATCCATCGACTGTCTAGTCTACCTAGTCTTTGAGTATCAACGTTATGGACTAATTAGTCTCACTTGAAGGTCAATGTTATTCGGCGTTATTTGTACAAATATTTCCGGTTCCTATTGGCGCGGACTATGGGTATAATACTGCAGACGAGGCGGGCTCCCTCCCTTCAGACGGTCGATTCGTTTTGCTCGTCGCGAAGGCCGCCCAGTCTGGCCCTCGGATATGTGTCACTATAACATTATGTATGCATCGTCATATTCACAGTATTTGGTATTAGTTCTACCATACACTCGTAGTTGGGTATTTTGGCAATCCATACCATTTGAATGTAGGCACAGACTTGCCTCAAGGTTAAATACGAGTAAGTAACTATCTATCACTTTATGTAATTTTTATACAGATTATATGTTTTTGTTGTGAGATTTCAACTTGGGGAATTACATAAGATTCCTTTAAGAGTCCTCTATACATTAATAAGTAGACAGTAATTAGAGGTAAGATAGCCAGTTCCTCCGTGGTTGAGGATTCCGGGTGAAGCTCGCTTCCACCTTCGGCCTGATCATCACTCACCATCAGGTGAGATACAGGCCAAGAGCTTCCTCGTTGTAAATTAAAAAAAAAAAAAAAAGTATCTCTACCTATCGCGTCATTGGTATTAAATAGGAATAGTGGTATAATAGTCTACGCTACGACATTGCTACGACAACAAATATTGGAATTTCCATAATGAGCTTTAAGCTCAATACCTAATACAATGTAATACTCGTAGTTTGCAGTAAAATGTCTAGTCTACGACACTGCTACGACAAAAAATGATTGACATTTCTAAAATGAGCTTTAGAAGCTTTTATGAGCTATGCGCGGTATAGTCTCTACATCTATCGCTCATCTCAATTCAAAGTCGGTTCAAATAAAGGTTCGGCCACACCAACGCGTTCAGCCGGCGTGCAGCGATGGCGACCAGTACCTCTAGTAGGAAAAACTTTCGAGTTCGTTTCGTTGCGTATTCAAAGTGTCATCGAAAAATTTTGTATGAAAAATTAAACAGCGCCCCCTATATTATAGCCGCCCTAGGGGGCGCTGTTTAATTTTTCATACAAAATTTTTCGATGACACTTTGAATACGCAACGAAACGAACTCGAAAGTTTTTCGTACTAGAGGTACAGACTTAAATGCATTGATCGCCATCGCTGCACGCCGGCTGATCGCGTGTGATCGCGTTGGTTTGGCCGAACCTTAAGTAGATTATGCGCTCGCGTGCACCGTGGTTCGTGTGAAGCGATCGGGGTCCAATCTAGAGCATCCACGGGTATTCTTACTCTCAAGATCGGCTAGCCGGTGTTACGTTGATTGCGAGCGCAATATATTAAACATTCCTCACACTTACACGCTTTTTATAGGATACATAAATATCTTACTCGAGAAATTATTTTCTTAGAACGAAAATTATAAAATTAACCAAGTATTACAATGTAATTTTATAAACACGTCACGCGATGTGGTTACGTAAAGCACAAACTAGAACAGTTTTCATTGAAGCGTGGAAGGAAGCATTACTTACTCACTTTTCAAACCTTTTGATGTACTTACACAGAAAAGTAACTACGACTTACGTTCTAAATCAACACTATCAGCAAACAAAACATCTTTTATAAATATTTCAACGCGATTACCTAGCGAAACGAAACGATAAACACGTAACTTCCATTAGTCATAAACTAAAAAATATTATCTGCGTAACTAATGTAATGTAACAAAAAGGTCTGTCCTTGGTTCAGGTTCAAGGCGAACGCCTTACATGCGCGAGCGCACCATTGAAGCAGACCTTCGAAATATTTTTTCTACACCAAGCCATGGCAGTAAACGTGCTCAGCTTAGCGCAAGGAAGGTTTACGAGCTGCCTGATCCAATCAATTATCATACAAATGGGGTAGTTTTACAACTTCTCAACTGACACACGAATTTTTTCGTCCACTTGCTATGCTGACATGTATGCGTCCAAATCGAATTAGATACCTAGAACGGTCGCGGCGTTTCCTATGAATCTCTAAACTGCCATGTTTTTGTGATTTCCATAGAGTTCAGGCATTATTTTATTCGTATTAATTATTGAGGTAGTCCATTCTGTGCACATTTATAGGTATACTTACCTATCGTAAAAGGCTCATCGATCTAGTTTGAAAGTATTTACCCGAGTTTAAAATCATACCTAAGCTTTATCTGCACTTTTCGTCGTTTTCGTGTCACGGACTAAACATAGCTTCGTTATCAGTTTTGATATTAGTTAATAGAGCCAAATACCCGTGTTTGCTGAAGCAGCATGCATTTGATATCGCGTATGTGGGTCGACGAAAGTAATTAAAAGTAAACACAGATGCAGCGGTGCTGCGGAACTAAAGCTAGATTTTGTTGAGTAATACGAGTCCAAGTGCGTACTTGCTGACCACAGTCATCCGGTTACAAGAACTATTTTACACGGCTGCCTACACGTGAGAACTAGTTTTTATTTCTTCGGTAACACGGCCACCCTATTTCGAATAAATACGCGCCGATTTCACCTAATGACTCGGCTGCAGAAGGGGGACTTTTTTTGTGTCAGAACTACTATAAATTAACCAATTTACTATCTAACCTCTTCACTGGGGATGAGATATAAGAATTGCATTATGGATTCCAATGCTAGCCCAAAAAAGACTAAATTGGCTTGCTTTGTAAATTACAGGTTTTGAAAAAGCAGTTCTCCTATCTAAGCGTTTTCGTATTCAGTCCAAGTGTTCAATATTGCACCGGCCGCTCTTGCGCATCACGAACATTGTAGCGAACGAGTATGCGCTGGACTAGTTACATCGATTTTTTTTCGAAGCTATCTTTTTACGCTTAAACGTCGTTCGCAATTATTCTTAATTATTATGAGGCAAAAAATTAACCTTGAATCAGAGGCAGGAGTTAGCGACCGTTTGAATATTAATACATCGCGATGAGTGAACAAATACTGAATATTCAACGTCGCGGGCGAGCGGCCGCGCGGCGCACGCGCAGGCTGGACGCAGCGCCACGCCTACTGACATGCGTGATTTGACTTTTTGGGCTAATTTACATCCATAAACCTATTTTTTCAGTATCTAAGTATTTTTCATTTACATAGAGTGCCAGGTTTTCAGGATACTGAAAAATTAACCTAGTATCCTGTCCTGAACCTCGTTAAAAGTTTGCAAAACTTTATTCATATATTTTTAGCTTACTTTATAGCAAATACCTTATAACCAAGATTGAAATTGACCAATGGGTAGACTTTTTAGCGGCTAACGTTTAATTGCTATTAAAACTGTAAATATTTCAGGAAAAAGGGTAAAACTGATCTAACTGAAATCGTATCCGCGTATAAACTCTTTATTTGATGTAGAGCAGCTAATTTTCAGATTCAGTTTCAAGCCGTTAAACGAAACGTTGGAATTTACCTGTAAATAAATTGGTAATTAACAAGTTGGCATAACTGTAAATAAATATAAAATTTTGAGATGTGGCTATAATTATCCAAGAATTAGAACAAGTGTGTAACAAGTTACGTAGGCTCTTATGGTCACTCAACGAGCTTAAAGTCCTTGGTTGGCATGGATATTTGCCTAGTTGCCAAATGCAACAGGAGGAAAACTCTATCAAGGAAAGAACATAATGGCAATGATGAACCTGCTGAAGGGCATCGCGGAAACGTGTGCCTAATTTGCCTTCAAACTTTATAAAATACTTGTAGATTTTTTATCCCATTGCAAACACAAGAAAAAATTGGAGCTTTTAAAATATTATGGCAACAACAAATAAATGCGAAATTAAATTTAAACGACTTACCTACATAGTTACGTTCAATGCTTTTATGCTTACAATTTAATAAATTTCATGTATTTCCATCAGGAAATCGATAAATGAAGCAATATTAGAAAATAATAGGCCAATCCTAAGTATTTCCATTTGCAGTAAAGGTCACGTGCTAAACAATTAACACTGGCCCAGGAAGTGGTGATCTTCAGGGAACAGTCGAAGCGTGCAGTCACGGATGATTAACTGAGTTTGCTCAATTGTGCTCCTAAATTAACATGCTGATTAGTGCAACAATGTATGCAACCGCACCAGCTCTACAGAACATACATAAAATTTAAGTTATTTATGGAAACACTTATGCCTGTTTTCACCATCAATCCCTAATTTTTAAGTGACCCCTATGGTAACAAATAACAGGAGTTTTGTTTACATAGAGGTGACTTAAAAATTAGGGATTGATGGTGAAAACGGACATTAGGCTCTTTTCAGGAGCACTTAGGTATTCACGTCCCAAACATAGCTTGTCCTACCATAACATAAACCACGTTATCAGGTAAAGTTTCATAACCTCAACCTGCGTATTCGCAGCGAACGAGACGTCTAAACGTTTCTACTTATTTGTCCACTTACAAACGTTTGATCTCCCGTTTTTATAAAATATAAAAAATAAATCGCTGAACAACGCTTCCAAAACACGCAATCTCGAGTGTAGCGCTTCGTAATTCACAAGAAAAATGTCTGAATAATGTATATTTTCCACTTGCAGCCGTAACTCCAGACACTTTACGCTATAGCTCCATTTTTGTATGCGGATCTACCTTTTAACAAGTCTTCAAGCAAAACTCTATGCTTATATTTTTTATTTTACCCATCACGCATTGCATAAAAGTTTTTCAAATCATTCTTTAAAACGCCGGTGAGTTTGTAATTTAAGCTAAACGTGCGGATCATTAAGTGGAAATACATGTAACACAATTAAAACTTAGAATTACCAGATACAGGAATTTAATGCTATTAATAATTAGCAAATCTCTGCAAAAAATAGATATAGACACGCTTTTAATACAAAAAGAGACTTACCCAAAAGCTTTCCATGTAATGTGAAAAAAGAAAAACTCCCGGAAGGGACATGGTTGCCAGTTAAAGTTCAGGGGAAGACTGACGACTGAGGGTACACGCCTAACTTTTTATTTATCCACTTTTTGTTTACTAACATCACACAGGAATTCCTTTTATCTCGATCCGTCTCCGGCGTAAGTTCGGCAAAGAGGCGAGCAGCCGGCGCGTGAGGCTCGGGTCTAGCGACTGAAGCCGCCGGCTCGCAGCGCCTCTATATACCTACATACTTCTTGCTTTGCCCGGCCGTTTCACGCTCTACATCCAAGAATTAATAACTATGGATCTTGGATATCGAACAGTAGTATTCATGCCCACACATGACTAGATTACTTTGTCCGACTTTCTTCCACGCAACGCCGCTGCTTTGATTGACTTAATGAAGCCCTCGGGAAGGGCCCGATTGTGACAATCATTTATGAAATTAGACCAAGGCTGGTGTATTTAGTTCAATGTGTGGTCACAGCAACCCTGCCCCACAATTTGACATGTCAGTCATATCTAAGAGCCCTATTTATTTACTGGCGCAATAAGCTATAATAAGATAGAGTCCGCTATGTAATGTTTGTTTGGTCAAGAGAAACGCTCGGACTTTCCAAGAAAAAATATTCAAGCTATCAAGTAGGTAACAACTTAATTATCCTTCTCCTGTTTTAATTTTAGCTTTTTATAGGTTTTCCATTCAACCTTAAGTTATGGAACGGTTGCAACTGGTAAAAGATGCAAATGAGAAGGCGGTGAATCACAAGTTTTACACTTAAGAGCATGAAAAATAGGTTTATAGTTAATGATATTACGAAAAACAATTATTTTAAATCTTCCTATAATTTAAAATAGTAATATCACATTGGTATGGATCGGTCAAAACAGCGTGTAGGTACAGAACGTGGCTACTGATTGCACCGCGTGCGTTTCTTCTCGCCATTTATTGTTTACGCTAACCAGTAGCACTTAAAAATAATCAGTTAATTATTTATTTAAAAGTAAGGTTGGTCCTTATAAGTAGGGTTCTGAGCAGATCTTTTTTACGAATTCCCCTGCGTTAACTAGGTATTTCAAATTAAAGGCTTGCTGTGATTGTGTGTGGTGTAGGGTGTAGGGGTTCTGCAAGTGCTGTTTCCGCTCTATGCAGGTAGCGAGGGACTGATTGACCAGCTAATTAATGTCTAGAAACAACTAATCGTTCGTTCGTTTCAGCCGAAAGACGTCCACTGCTGGACAAAGGCCTCCCCCAAGGATTTCCACAAAGACCGGTCCTGCGCCGCTTGCATCCAGGTACTTCTCGCGACCTTCACCAACAACAACAAAAACAACTAATAAAGACTAAGAAAGTAGCAATTGTTAAATATACCTACCTATCATCCAAAATTCCAAACTCTACATTTGGAACAAAAAATAGAACTGCTAAGGTGGGAATCGAACCGCGACTTTTCGCTTGCCATGACTGGTTTTAACCATCTAAACTACATAGATTACTATGAGATGACTAGTTGACTACTTAGGTAGGTACTTTTTAAGAAAGTTAGGTAGGTACTCATAACGGGACTATTCCCACCTCTTGTTCCCACAGTTAGGTAGGTACTCATGTAGCTTCCTGCGAGAAATATTATTATGTATTTCTAGCTGATTTAGATATTAGTACCTACTGAAACGGCGGTTCCAAAGTTTGTATAGGGCATAGGGTTTCTAAATTCACAGGAGTACCTAAGTACTCCTTTCGATAAGTGATAACACTATGTTTCAGGATTTTTCAGAATTCATCCCTTAAACGGGGAAATAGGGACAAAGTCTGAAATCAACATAGGTATTACAATTTGTAAGTATTTTATCAAGTCTCTAATTACGAAACGTGACGTAATAATAAATACTTTCTGTGATTGAACGAAATTCACGCGGGCGAAGCCCCATTATGCTACTTTTAATAAAATAAAAATTGGACTCTCTAATGACACAATTTTGTGAATAAAACATTTTAATTATAATAAAATTGGATATTGGCATAAGATTAATTATCAATAGTTATTAATTTAACAATAATTTGAGGCAACTCTCAGATTCAAATGCCGGAAATCCGGAATTGCGATTTGAAAGTTTTCCTTTGCACGCAGAACTATCTTTTAGTGATTATAGACTGAAAGTTTCATTTTATTAAATACTATAAAAATTGAAAAATACCTAGTCTTTACAGGGACAAAACGGTTTAAAAATTTTCTGTTTTTTAATCAACGTAGCGGACCGCTAACCCGCTTACGTAAATTTTTTTCGGACCAAAGTTGCAAGTTTATGTCATTTTTGACAATGACATTGACAAATTCAATCAGCTGTTGTGAACAGCGATACAGGTGAAGAAATTACAGTATAATTTTCAAGAAATCATTTTAATTACGCTTTTTAACATAATAAATCCGGCAATATGCAATTTCAAAAGGTAACTCACGTGTTATTTGATCTAGACGGTCTACTTCTAGGTAAGTTTTAATTCAAAATGTAAGCACGAAAGCTACGCACGCGTATTTGTTTGGATTGCGTAATTTTAAATTAATTAAAGTAACATAGTCTACTACTTCCTGTTTCAGATTCTGAAATATTATACACTGAATCTTTCACGAGAGTTTGTGCTAAGTATGGTAAAGAATTCACGTGGGAACTGAAGTCAACCCTATTGGGATTTCAAGGCCATGAGTGCGCAGAAAAAATCACTAAGACTTTGAACCTACCTATAACTAAAGAAGAATTCATGAATGAATGTAGCAAGATCAATGAGGTACTATTTCCTAATGTACAGCTTATGCCAGGTATGCTAGACTCTTGCCTCATTTTATTTACCAATAAAAATACAATATCTTATTTTTGTAAAGTACCTATTCAATTAATATTTCAAACGATGCGATCTCCATTCTTTCCGAAATAATGAAATATTTTTTGGCAAATTTTCTTCTGTACCTTCTTGATAATTACATTCAACATTTTATCTCTTTAAACATAAACCTTATTTTTCTTGCAGGAGCTGAAAAGTTGGTGAAACACCTCCACAAACATGGTGTACCCATCGCATTAGCCACTAGTTCAGGCAAAGAAAGTGTGGAATTAAAGATGCAAAACCATAAAGAAATACTTGGCTTGTTCCACCATCTTACCATGGGGCAATCAGACCCAGAAGTTACCAAAGGAAAGCCAGACCCCATAATTTTCCAAGTCTGTGCTTCTAAATTCCCTGAAAAACCAGTACCTGAAAAGGTAATGTAGTGTCACATATTTGAATTTAGTTTAGATTTTTCAACTACTTACTGCTTACTTTAGATCTTGCTAGTAGGCATACAGAAAAATCCAAAATATTACATGTATGTAAGGCAGTGATTGTGTTTTTTGTACATTCTTCATTTATTGGATTGTAGATTTCTCATAATCATCATCATAATCATTTAGTCATTCATAAACATGGGTATTACTCCTGTAATTTTGTATGCGTCATCCGTGTCACATACAAAATATCAATATCTCAGACAGTTTTTGATCATTTTTAATTTTTCTCTGAAGTCTATAACAGTTTATTATGATCACTTCAGTGCTTGGTGTTTGAGGATGCAGTCAACGGTATCAAGGCAGCAAAGGCAGCAAATATGCAAGTGGTCGTAGTCCCAGACCCTCGGGTGGACCCTGAACAGCTGAAGGATGCCACATTGGTCCTCAAGTCTTTAGAAGAATTCCAGCCAGAGCTGTTTGGTCTACCTTCTTACAGTTCTTAAGGTAATAATTTATTTTTAATATGGAGATAATGTTTTTAGTGCAATAATTATATTTGTACTTAGTACACAGTAATTTTTTTGCATAATGTACTATCGAGGACTCTTCCGCCTGACCACTTTGTAGAAATTTTAGCGTAAGCCCATCGCTCCGGTCACGTGCTCACCCCGTCTCTAATTGGTTACGCATTTTACTATATTTTTACTACGACCAATAAGAGACAATCAGGGCTTAGGTTGCAATACGAAATACCATTGTGCACTTTATTGTCATACGGTTAAGGTTTAAAACGAAATGTTTCTTTTTCTTCAATCTTTCTTAGTTTTAGGCTGAGTTGCACCACCTAACTTTGACCGTAACTATAACGGTAACCGGTGCTTTTTGTATGGAGTTTAACAGATTTTTGACGTTTGTCAAAGTTAAAGTAAGATGGTGCAAATCAGCTTTAGAATTTTAATAATAGAATTTGGTTACAAACAAATAGATAATATGTATTTTTTTAATATTGTATTTTTATACGAGGTCTGTCTGCTTTTTGCTTTGGCGAACTGTCGACATATTCTCTCCTTTGTTTTTTGTGAAGTTTTGTGATCCCTAACCGATTAATTTTGTTTTGTGTTGACCCGTGCTAGTAATTGGACTATTTGATTGCCTTTTTATTGACCTCCGCGCGATTACTGAATCATGGCCTCTCAAAATAATTATTAATTCTTATANTTAATGATACCTATGACAAGAAATAAAGATTTTACATTGGTTTCATTGCATTTGAGCAATTTTATATTTTTTGTTTATTTAGAAAGAGCGAGTCTGCCCACAGAGAGCGAGATAGTGATACTTAGTTTGTGCTTCAAGTAGGTATTCGGAGTGTGGCCTCCATTTTTATCTGTAGCTTCATGGTGCGGAGCGATGATTGTGGAATTGTGGAAGGTTGTTCATGGATGGTGTCTATTGAGTTATGGTTCAAATTTGTATGAAGGCAGGGATGTAAGAAACGATACGTCCACTCGCTATGATTATTTATTTTACACTAGTAAATGTTTGTGAATAGGTACATTTAATATAAGTATCGGACAGATGGAAAATGAATACAATTCATCTAAATTCGAAAAGTGACCAGTAGTATAAAAACGTTTCATGGATTTGCGTTTTATTATCGTAAAACATTCGCTAAAACTCATTTTTTTAACAAATATAAATGCACTTTATGACATAATTTTTAAATTGTCACTATTAATATTTTTTACTGAATAACCTGTAAAAGTTAATTCTATAATTTCTGAAAAATCACCTAAAAGTAACCTTTTCATTAGTGTAACCTAAAAGTAACCTCTGCAGTTCAAAAGTAACCTAAAAGGTTACAAAAGTAACCTTCTGGCAACACTGACTGACAGGCAATCCCCTCTAGATGTAAGTAGACTAGAGATGAGACGTATTTACTAGAACAGATCCACACACTAGGTATTTTACAGTACTAAGTGGCACCTATTCCAATTTTTAAAATACTTGATCCACCTAGTATTTTTTAAATTACACGATTTCCGACCCTACCATCAAAGTAATAGAGGTTATTATTGCATAATCCGTAGTCGTGTATTACGCGCACCGCGTATTTCTCGCTAAGCTTATGTGCGAACGTAGAGATTCACTCCGTCTCTGTCTGACAAACAAATTTGAGCGCAGGCAGGTGTGAGATAGGAATAGGTGTTTGATGTATTACGTAATTTAAACTTTATTTGTACGCTACTTTTTTCTCAGGAAATTGCACAGTTACCTCGGAATGTGCGATAGCAATTTTGTGATCCGAGCGGGCAATCGCTAGTTAAATTTTTACACGAAGCCCCATATAATATTTTGTAGCGATTCTTTATTGGGTTTCAAATTTACTAAAATGCGACGTTGCCAAACGAGCGCTACGGATGCGGGTAAGCTAAGCAATACTCAATCCTAAACGCTTTACATAGAGCTTGGTTTGCTAGGGCAAACATCTACAGTGGTGCGCCGACGCTGCTTAGACCCGAAACATGAATGAACGGGGGCGTAGCTTAATCGAGCGTGTGTGTGAAAACAATTTAGGCCCTTAAGGTGTCAAGGCGTCCGAGTCCCCGATAGTACATTAAATTTTCTATGAATTTTACCATGAGTACTTACAGAAAGTCTTTTATATGTTTTTATATTCATGTTATTATTGTCCACAAAGAAGTCACAAATCCAACTGTAAACTTTGGGGTAGGAACTTGTTAACAATCCTTACCTAACCAGTATTAAACAAATACTAACTTGTTTATACTTAGTTTAGTAATTTTAAAGCACCTGTCGCAAAAAGTTTGTGCATTGAATCACTTGTTACATTTTGTTGAAACCAAAGACTTCTGACTACCACTAGACAAGTTGTTCGGAATTAAACTATCGAGGGACAAAACCGGACATATCACGACATACAAGAGTATTATTTGTATAACTAACTTTATAAACTAATTTACTTGTTTTATCTGTAAATGGGCAATGTACAGCATTTATTCTGTCTAGCAGTACCTAGATGTCTTTGGTTAGTATACATGTATCTACTTCAGAGCTTCCATTTGTGAGCTTTTATAATTATGATGCTTTGTTCTTGTATAATTATGTCATACATTGATTATTGTGATAAAGGAGTACCTGCGAACTTCAAATACTTGAGTTGTACAGTAACTGTATTTAATTTACTTTAATTAATTACCTAGTCAAAGGGCATTTGATGCCTGCTCTCTCTGGAAATAAAATCTACAAAAGAAAATGTCTTGTATTTTACTTAGAAACTATTTATTTCACACAAACTCTCTACAAGCACTTAAAGCCAAAATATGTTTAGATGTTTTGTTAATTTACAATTTTATCGTAATCATTAGTTAGCTAAAACGCTAGAGGTAGATGGCGCCACTTAGTTTGCTTGTTTCTTCAAGTTTTTGCCTTCCAAAAAATCGTAAGCTGCAAAATGCTAATGGCTAAAAGGCGGCAACCCAAAGTCCTCCGGTCGGAATTCCTCCACGGAGCCCAGGACGATGGTGGCTTCGAATGCGCGGGCGCGGTCCAGCCTCGGGTCAGGCACCATAACCACCTGCATGCCCGCCGCCCGTGCTGCCTTCACGCCGTTAAGGGAGTCTTCGAACACGAGACACTGGAACGTTTTAAGATGTCATTAGAACTGGCGGCTAAACTATTACGATTTAGTTCGCGCGTTTAAGGGTTGGAATCATTCAATCGGAATATACCGGGTAAGTTAGTCATATTACTTTGTGTAGTAAGTTAGCCACATTATCCCAGTTTCGTTAAAAAATTGCAGCTATGAATCGACCTGATTATTCAATAAGAATTAATGATATAACCAAACTTCAGGGTGCATATGCCGTTAGTCCGATTATGGACTTAAGTATGTTTTATGGTATAGTTATTCGATGAAACGGCTTTCAATAAAACGTTAGGGAACCCAAGTTTTAGATGTCTATTACGAGTATTGCGACCAATACTACCTTTACGTATTAAGTTATGTATGCTACAAGGGAGCTTTCTTGGTCTACTGTTATAAATAGTGACACTCGGAGGTTCTGGGTTTGATTCTCAGGTAATAACGACACGTGCAGTTTGTAAGATAATATACATACTACCTTTTCTGGTGGTGGATTATCAGGGAATTTCGCTGCGGCTACGAGGAATATGTCAGGGTGTGGCTTCCCTCTCTTGACTAGAGGGTCCGAGGAACCCCACGTTTTATACGTGAGTAAATCGAACAACTCTTGATGCTTGGCCACCTTCAAATCGTAAGTTTCTTTACTGCTGCTAGTAGCTAGCCCGATTGGAATATTGCTATCGTGCAAGTGTCGGATTAGTCTTTCTACCCCTAAAACAAATTTCTTGGTCCTTTAACTACTTACTTTAGTAAAATAAACGTAAGTGATTTCAAGGTCAACAGATATTGGAAATTTTGTCGGCAATGCTTACCAGGCATAACTTTGCAAATAGGAAACAACTTCTCGAATATAATCCTCGTTTCCTTTAGAAACTCCTCGACAGTCATAGGAAGCCCCAGTTCATCTATGATAGAGCCAGCAAACTCTCGACTTTGCTGCCCCATTATTTTACTTTTTAATTCAAATGTGAACGTTTTTCCAAATCTTGAAGCCACTTCTTGGAAACCGATAGTATACAATTCTTCTGTGTCTAAAAAATAAAAATAAAGTATAATAAACGCATAAAGTGGTACTACTTTTAAAGAACTACAAAACCTAATTAAATATAAATTAAATTCATAACTTACTCAGAATTAAACCATCCATGTCAAATAAAAGGTGAGTCACTGGCTTAAAAGACATCTTTATAAATTCTAATTAAGTACGAATTATTATTAAACTGTAATAATTTAAAATTGAATATGGTTACTAGATCTGTAAGTGTTTTGGCATTGCCGCAAGAATCCTAATGACTTCACACAAAGCTACCAATAATAAGACTGATAAGTTACGCCAGTTCCATCCGTTATCTACATCTTTGAGGCATTATCAATAAGTGTATAATTATACACGGTTGTTAACAATAACAGGCTATTTGCGTATAATTAGATAGTTACATATTCGTATTTTAACAAGGTCATTACTTCTATTTATACTTTACTGACACCCTGTATAACAATGCTGTGAAGTAGATATTCTCGTGTTCAGGCAGTCAGGCTTCATTCATGATACAATTTTCTGTGAATAATTATTAATTAATTTGTTTTAATAATTACATACTTCATAAATGAGTTACCATAAGTTCACATCGTGGAGTTTTACCTTATTATTATTCTGTGGTTTTACTTATAAAATACATAGGAACATGATAAATAATTTAAATGACAAAACTGATTAAATGAGTTTTCAAAATTTAGTAAAAAGAAATTACTTCCATGTTTAATATGTAGATTAAATAGGTAGAATAAAAGGTTTATAAAAAACGGTGTGTATTGGAAAAAAGAAGTTCAAGTAATTAATAAAATATTTATTATAAATAACATCTTGTTATTACACAAGCTAACTTATCATTACTAAAATTGAACAAAATTGACATTCAGCTTTTATATTATAGAATTTTATAATGACTTCATTATTACTAAAATATCACATCATACAATGGCATTGTTTTACAAAATGTATGTTTGTAAGTTTGTCATGTTAGACCTGAGCCCCGATTACGGTAACTTTTAACGTCTACAATCCAGACGCGCTTCATCGATTCTGCGATACGATTGGTCAAAACAGCTGACGTACGCTGTTGAACGACCAATCGTATTGCAGAATCGAGAAGCGTGTCTGGATTGGAAACGTTAAAAGTTACCGTAATCGGGGCTCTGTTTTATCTTTGCAAATATGTAAGCACAGTATAAGTACACTGAATAAAAGTACAGACGACGGCATGTCTACGTAAACACTGTGGGTTCTTGTGAAGTTGTAATAGGGGCGAGTTTGCAACAAAAATGGGTAGCCTGATATGCTGTCATGTGTACATTCAATAAATAGCAACTCTAATATCCATTGATGGTCAATGTTGGTACTAGTCTTCAAATGGTGGTAAACCAAATAGTTCTGGCTTAAATTCTTCTAAGCTGTTCAGGACCAATGTAGCTTCTTTTGTGAGCTCCCGGTCCATCCTGGGGTCTGGCACCATCACCACCTGCATGCCGGCAGCTCGAGCAGCTTTAACTCCATTTATGGCATCTTCAAACACCAGGCACTGAAAATAATTTATTTTTTAATTAATATAATATGAATTGGAATCTTTTACAGAATTAATAGAAAGAAGGAAAAATAGATCTCAGCTTATTGCTTAAAAATGAAGTCTAACCAATTGGCATTTAACAGTAAACAAACTACTAATCTTAATTGAGTCCATAATCTTTAAACATTAACTAAAAACATTTTTCATCAATGGCAAATTTGAATTATGTACCTGTCCAGGTTTTGGTTTATCAGGAAATCTGGAAGCAGCAACCAAGAATATATCAGGATACGGCTTTCCCCTCTTCACCTCAGGGTCAGAGGATCCCATAGTTTTATATGGGAACAAAGAAAACAGCTCTTGATGATGTTTATTTACTTTTAACTCGTAACTTTCTTTACTGGAACTTGTTGCTAATCCAATTGGAATGTTGTGACTATTCAAATGTTCAATAAGCCGCTTTGCACCTGTAATATAAACATTATTTTATCCATAACACATGTTGAACCATCATATTGTAAAAGATGATTAAAATAAGTGTTAGACCTTACCAGGAAGAACTTGTGTATCTGGAAATAGTTTTTCAAATTGCTTCTTAGTTTCTTCCATAAATTGTTCAGGAGTTATTGGCAAATCCAACTCGGAGACGATTATTTTAGCGGTCTCGTGAGCTTGGGAGCCCATTAATTTCAATTTAAGAGTAAATGTGTACTCTTTGCCGTAAGGTGTTAATACATTTTTAAAAGCTACTGTATACAAGTCTTCTGTATCTGAAAAAAGATTAAATTACATTTATTAATACTACAAATTACTTACTTTAAAAACTTTTTGAACATTGAACTGTGTTTGAACATACTAAGAATTAAACCATCCATGTCAAATAGCACGTGCGTTACTGGATGGAATTTTGAGGCAGTCATTTTAAACTGGTAAATAAACACTGAAAATAATTACTATTATTTTAGAAACGTAGTTTTATAAAAAAAATGAGATCACAACAAAGTGCAGCAATGCGAAAACACTGGTTGACAAGTGACTGACAAGCAGTGTCAAAAAAATGTCAAGCTCAAGCCTGATTCGTTTTTTTATTATTCCTTTTGCAGGAAAAGACAAAGGGCAAACAGCCAAGCAACAGATTCGCATTAATAAAAAAAATGCTTACGCTTTTTAGCAAGAAACAGCTCTTGCCCTTATATTACCTCTTGCCAGAATGACTTAGTTATGTTGCTTTAACATAGTTTTCAATGTAATTTAAAATATTACAAATAAATGCGTCAAGCAAGATTAGATTGCACCATCGTTGTTTAAGTACTATACTCTATGATCGTTCCTACAAAGTTGCACTATGTTTCAACTTTTTTAATGTAGCTCTAGCATTCACTAGCTCGTCTACCTTGATTTTTTAGAATCCAGCAGAGATGTAAACAAACACTTTCATACACAATTACACCATAATCACTTACGTGTTCATAATATCATACACATTATTTAACAAGCCCATGAAACCAACTTTATTTTCAAGTTTATACAAGTTTGAAATCAATCTTTGAAACAAATTATTTTAGCAAAATACGTGGACGATGAAAATTTGTGAGACTTGTCAAATTGACTTGACGTTTAAAATCATGTGTTATCTCCATATTGTCTATGACTTGTCTCTGACACATCAGTGCCGTAACCTGTGAGTCATAGACAATAATCTGTAAATTTAATCGATATTATTTTAAGTATTCACTTATTCCAATTACTGATTAATTTTAAATAAAAAATATACGATACTTTGTTTAGTTTTCCAATATTCAGTACAACAATATTGGAGATAACGTAAAATTATTTTTCTACTTTTAGTGTTTACTTTTTCGGAGTCAGTTTAATTTTTAGTCGGTTTGATTTAAACGAAATTATTTTACTTTTTTATGCAATTATGCTTACGTATTGTTCCATTGTTTATTTTTAAGAAAACTAACACTAGTAGCAACACTGTCAAACAGAACTTTTTGCAACTATTTGAAGTTTAATAACTTTACGGATATCATTGATTGTTTTATTATCCAGTGTGTTTTTTTATTACATCTGTGCATACAGTTTGTTTCCTGTTCTCGAAAATTTCATAATCAGTTCACATTCGTTGCGACTTTGTTGCATATTTTTAGTATTTTGACGATCACCCGGCGATGATACGCAAATACTACAATATTTCACTTCGCGATTAACGAGAGGTTTTGTCGCATCACTAGTTCACAGACTAAAAATATTTTTATGTCAGTTGGCCATATTTGATGACATTTCTGCTGATTTCTAAAAAATTAGACTTGTATGTTTTGTGGTGTATCGTCCGTCAAACAAAATTAATAATTTTTGTAGAATGTATTCTCCAAAGTCATCTATAATACTCAAAGAAGCGTTAAAATTATTTAAACTCTATGGTCTTGTTTGCATTTTTATTTTTTTTATTTATGTTCTCTTCTTGTCTATGGTATTATTTGTGATTGTTTGATGTGGACGTGTATTTGGTTTTGTAAATGAATTTCGTTAATCATTAATTCCAGGACAACTACATGAATTTTATTCCCTAAATGTTAGACAGTTAAAGATTATCTTGCAATAATGTATGTTTTAGATGTAGCATAGTAAAAACCATTGATTTTTAGCTGTACAATTGTTTACTGGTAAACATGGAAGGTCCAGGAATGAGTTTATTCCAAGGGGCTGCAAGTATACACATAAATAATAGTGCTCAAGACAGACTTGAAGAGCAAGAAGAATTGGAGGACCAGAAGAGACGCAATGAGGAGGTAAACAGGCCAAATAAAAATGAACTAACCTAAAACATAATATAAATAAACAAATAATGAAAACACCAATAACATCAAATAAAATTATGTTTTTCAGTTGAAACACAAACTTGCGAATGCGTTTGACGATCTTTTGGACGATGATGAAGCCAGTTCAGTGAACAGCAGTGGAAATTTCACTTTAGATGCAGGACAACCTAACGGCAGTAAGTGGTGCACATGAGTTTAATGTAACTACAGCATACTTAGCAATTTAGAAGAGTATTGAATATTGTCTAATTGAAGAGGAAAGTAAGACTCGGAAAGGACCACTGTTAACCATGTTTGCCTTTTGAAGCTTAGATTAAAATACACTTATTTAATTTTCTGTTTGCATCAGATCAACATACTAGAACAGGTCTGCCGCCAACATATGTGGAGTCTCTAAACCACTTGAAGGAGCAGGAAACTCCTAAGGCATACCGAGAGACACCCAAAAATCATATGCATCACATAAGGCACCAGGAGGAACCAATGAAACTACCATTCAGTCCCTATGGAGCTGGTGATGGTCAGAATCATTTTTTCCAACAAGACTTTCGAGGTGAAAATTGATGAATCTCTTAATATTTCATTATCAGTAACACTAATTTAGTTTTAACCAACTACCATCGTATTTTGCACTATTTCTATTGAAAACAATACAGTAATGGATATTTTTATCCACAGGTCAATATAATGGTGTAAACAACTTTGATGCTAGGCAGGAATACATGAATAATGAACAGCTAAAAGTAATGTATGAGGTAAGAAAACAAACTGGTTTATCCAAGAATTTATAATAATATTGTCTAACTTTACTCATTATTGCTTCTACATACTGATAAATTTTTAATGTACTTCTTTGATCATACAAATACTAATTTACCTATTACTTGAACACTCCAGATGCGCGTCAAAGAATGTCAACAGCTAGCTTCTCAAATGGAGAAGTTGGACACAGAAGTTGACAGCCTGCGAGCCAGGCTCGCCGCTGCTGTCAATGACAGGGATAAAGCAGAGCTCTCACTGCAGGAGGCTCATCATTTGCTTGGTAAAACCATGTTTTGTCTAAAAGGCTTGCAATAATCTAGGCCTAGTCTCTGTCCAGCTATTATATTAGTTATCAATAACTTTCATCTATTGGACAAAACTATTGTATCAGTCACCTGTAGTCTACATAGTAGTTGTGTTTAGCGTAACTTATTTTAGAATATGTTGAAAGCTAAATTTTGATTTGCAAAGATGAACTTCACTTGAATATAATACCTGACACAATCACTTGAATATAATACCTGACACAAACAGACAATGATGTTGCAGTCTTCATTTGAGATGTCTGTATTACTGTAATTATAATTTTTTATAACTATTTGTAGCTTCAAGCAAGCATAAACTGATAGAGCTAGAGCAGCAGGTGACTGCACTATCTGAGAAGCTAATGGAAAGTGACCAGGAAAAAGACCAGCTGAAGTTAGAACTGAGGTCTGCTAATATGAGTTTGCAGGATGTGCAACAGAGACTGCATACTCTTCAGGTAATGAGAACAACATAACTATAACTATTTTTAGTGAAAAATTGCACCTACATATTTCAATTTCATAAGATACTTATTTAGTACAAAGTTATGCTCAATGTGGAATTGACTGTACTCCAATGTAAATAAATGTTTTATTGTTTTTTAGGTTGCCCACAGCCATGATACCGATGCATTGTTCAGAGAACAACAAGATAGGTAAATTTTGTTGACTGTTACAGTTTGTTTAGTAAATAGAATGGTATCTTGAAAAGTTTCTATCATGATTCTTGTTTAATTTCAGACATAGAGAAGAAGTGGAGAGATTACAAAGTGACCTATTAAAAGCCAAGAACAGACTAGAAGAGAAAGTAAGCACACCTTAAAACAACAGATACATAATCTTTTTGACTCTTTATTCTAAAGATATCCGCTCAAAGTCAAAAGAAAATTTTGAAACTATTATTCCCTTTGTTTTATAGGAAAAAGAAATTAAAGTTCTCGACCGTCGCTGCATGGAGAGGGACAGAGAAAAAGAGGAGATACTGATAGAGAAAGGAGGCACAATAAACCGTTTAGCCAGCGAATTAGAGGCGGCTCAAAGCCGGCTGGTCAGCGGCGAGACCGCGCGGCTCAAGGAAAAGGTCTCGCAGCTCACTGGCGAGAGGAACACTGCTAGGGAACAAGTTAAGGAATTAGGCGTAAGTATAACAACTGTCTACAGCATTTTTGCGCACGGGTTATGCATAGCTTATTTTTATTGCTTTAATACCTAGAAATAAGAATAACAACAAAAAAATGTTCTGAATTTGCTTTTATGTGTAAAAAATAGAAAAATTCATATCAATGAATGTATGAAACATGAACATAGAGATGACTTAATTTGTTGCTAAATATATTTTTTTCTTTCTTTCTTTCTAATTATTAAAACATACCAAACATCCATTTAAGATTCATTCTCACAAGAGAAAATTTAAAATAGAGTCCAAATATTTATTAAAAACTAGCTTTACGCCCGCGGCTTCGCCCGCGTGGAATTTTGTCTATCACAGAAAAACTTTATCGCGCGCGTCCCTGTTTCAAAAACCGGGATAAAAACTATCCTATGTTCTTTCCCGGGACTCAAACTATCTAAGCTCTCTAATTAAGCGGGAAAGCGTAACAGACAGACAGACAGAGTTACTTTCGCATTTATAATATTAGTTGGGATTAGTTGGGATGAAAAGTTCTTATTTCCTGTCATGATCCATAGAAGATTTTTCTCATAAAAATCTAACCTTATCATGCTTTCAGTATACTGGCCTTGGTAACATCGTCTCTCAAATCCCACTATATTTTGATGAAAGCGTGTCCCTTGTTCTTGCGAATAAGCCCCCATAATTGTCTTTAAATATATCCCAATGAGAATGTGACGTGCATCTTTAGAGACATTCTACTATGAAGATGGAAAATTCAAATCGCTATAACTTCTTAAAAAGCAAATATTTTCGATTTGTAATCGCACTTTTTTATATAAATTTGCTTATGTAATCAGAATATAATAAGTAAAATCCATGCGCAAAAAAAAAATTTTTTTTTGTTGACCGGTGTAATCGACGGTGCATTAGATACGCTGGTAATACACCTCCGACGCGAAACAGTGAAACTATTTCAATATCTATCTCTGCATTTACCGCGTCGGCGTCGCCAAGTCCACCACTTGTTGCCGCAGAAATGTATAAATTGAAATCGTTGCGCTGTTGTTTTTGCGGTGGGGGTGTGCTACTTGCTATAGATACTACGGTTTTGATGCAAATAGATCCTACTAGCTGACCCGGCGAACTTTGTTCCGCCTTAATGGCAATAAATAAGCAGACTTTTTTTTTTAATTTCGAACGGGATAAAAAGTATTCTATGTCCTTCTCCTGGCTCTAAACTACCGCCCTGACAATTTTCAGCTAAATCGGTTCAGCCGTTCTTGAGTTATAAGCGAAGTAACTAACACGACTTTCTTTTAAATATATAGATTACAACTTCATGAGATGCCTGAGTTTTAGCTAGATAGTACATACATGTACCTACCGTAAATAATAATAAATTGCTAGAATAAAATGAAATTAATTAATGAAGAAGCGCCACAACAATTTTATCTTATGACTTTCAGTTTAATGTTGATAAGAAATAATGAAAATAAAAATAGTTTTATTACGTCTTTATTATTGGCTATAACTAACTTACTGCTGTTTTTAGTCCAAGTTGGAGGTAACAGCCCATGAACTGGTTCTGTGCCGCAACAAGCTGTCGGCGACACAAAAGGACCACGAGAGCTGGCGCACTACCCTCCACCAGATATTGCAGGAAGCTCTCCCCGACACCACTTATCTAGGTAAATAATATCTAGACCGCACGCATATACTAGCCTTTAACTACTGACGTGGGGGCCTCTCAGGCCNCTTTAGATAATACGTTTTCCTGCATTCTGAATTATAATAACTATATCGAAGATGATGTGGTTCGCGCATTTCATGAAAAGTTACTTCGGTGCACATCATTTAGACCGCGTGAGCTAGAATTATTTCAACACCCTGAACTGATTGAACCTGTACCTAAAAATGAGACGCACCTTCAAGTAATTTATGACGGTGACGTGGGATTAGTGGGGCACTGGAGTTGTATTTATTACATTAATGGAATACTGCGTGTGTACGATAGTCTTGTTGGTGTTCTAGGAAAATCGCAAAAAATATATGTAAAAGCCTTGTTTCCGTATCTATCGGAGTCATGTATTCAGTTTCCAAGTGTTCAGCGACAACCGAATACTATTGATTGTGGTTTGTTTGCCATTGCTTTTGCCACCTCTTTAGCTCGGAATATTTATAAATACATATATAAAATTAATATTCATACATAAAAGTACAAGGCAAAATATCNTTAAACGATGAAACCAAGTGCCATACATGCATTTTGAAGATTCAAATGAAATCTACATTTTAAAAACATGTATGGCTTCCTTCACTGAGCAAAGCAAGTTTATCCAGACTGTGTTTAATTCGCACTATTTGATGTGTGTAATTTTTTTCCCTCTATTTCATATTACGATTACTGATATATCATTAGCTAAAAAGACTATTGAAAATTAAGATTCTAAGTTGATTTGTTGAATTTATGAATATTTTTCATGATAACTTTGTGAATCATGATTTCATGAAATTTTTGCCAAAAATGCTACATGTTTTCTAAATATTGAAATAATACGTACTTATTAACAAATAATTTACATAAAAATCGTTTTATTGTATTTAAATATAACCACTATTAATACTTATTAAACATAAAACCCTAAAAAGATTATATATTTTTAAATATAAGCACACATATGTACGGGCCTCTCAGGCCCCCACGTCAGTGTTTACGTGAAATTAAATCCACCTCAGTAGCTAAAGGCTAGCGCTAAGCAAATGTTCAGTCAGTTACCACATTTATTCAAATCCTATTAAAAATATTGAGGAATAATATGTTTGGTGTTAGTACTAGAGACTTTTAACTTCATTGGCGTAGCTAAGAGCGAGCCAAATGTATGCTGCGTAGTCGCTTCGCTCTCATAAACGATTCGCACGTGTGCTGACCTCGGAATATTTGTACTTTACGTTTTATTTTTAAATTATCAGGTGAACCACCTTCGCCCGGCAAATTGACGACGCTCAAAGAGGTGCTGAATCGGTACAAACAACAAATGCAAAAGATGTCCACGTTGCAAGAAGAACTGTCTAAGCGGTAAGGCATAGAAAACACTTCACGCCATATTTTTAACCTTACACCCTTGTCTTAAGATCCAAAAATTAAGTTATAACTTGCTAGACCGTCAAAAGGTTAATTCTAATTATGCTATTTTAGGGACAAAAAGCTCGAGCAGCATCGCAAACAAGAATCGGAATTACGTAGCAAAATAGAAGAACAAAAAGGCATAGAGATGCAACTCAACTCCAAACTGGCGGTTCTACAAAATAAGCTCGAACTACTCGGGAGTAGCTCTGACAGCGAGCTACTGGAGAGCTATAAGCAACAGAATGAAAGACTTCAAATGGAGCTGGATGAAGTGAGGAGTGAACATAAGAACGTAAGTCACATTTACCACAACGAAAAATGAACCCTCATTATGTTTTAGTCTAATCACGAAATGGAAGTTTTGACTTAGTGAATAGAGATGGTATGAATGAATCGAGAAAACAAATCAGTAAATTCCTTCACTCTTATTGTTGCTAATCCTATCCTAACTCCTTTTATTTCTCTACTTACAGTTGGACCTAAAGTACACAGAGTTAGAAATGGAATACGACAAATTAAAGTCAGAGAAAGGCAGCCGCGCGTCCATAGTACAGGAAGCGAATGCGGATCTGCTGCGAGAACTAGAGCGATACAGCGCCCAGCTCAAAGACACGCTCAAGGAAAACATCGAGCTCAAGACACTCTACTTACAGGTAAAGGTCTTACACTGTTATGTGGTGTGCTGAAAATGTGCTACAAGGGTATTTATTTACAGTTTTAATTTAATATTGGGGCAAAACAAGAAATGTCACAAAAACAAAAAGTTACGTAATGAACATTTAATTTTTTTAAAGTTTAAAATATTCTTATGTGTCACTTAAAATTATAAACTACTAATATGAATACATATGACTATTACTTGTTTTTACGCTTTTTGTATAATTTCAAATAAAAATACGCGGGAAATCGAAAATATTGCCATCAAAAATATACTTTTGAATTTTAGGGACATTCCTTGTTTTACCCCTGTACCCTTCATTTACGCTAACTAAGCAGCAACTTATATTTCTTGCAAGCTGTAAGTGATAGTGCAATTAGCTTAATATTTTGCGTATTTTTTAACATATTGTGTATTGTTGTGCCTATCTTTGGTGTACCTAATAAATAAATAAATAAATATTTTTAATGGGTGTAAAAGTATGCAATGAGCTATCCGGCTCGAAGGTCCACAAAATTAAGTGTTTTGAACCTAGGGGAATTTTTATTTGTCTGGCCTAGGAACATGCAGGGAAACAGTTTTGGGGCTTACTTAGCCACAGGACATACTGAACTTAGGCCTCCCCAAGACTGACACATAGTGGCAAAGAAAAGATTGGCTGTACGATAGGTCAATTATAATATTGTATAGAAATACATTATCACAAAAATGCGTATTATCTTTCAGGCATGCAGTTCACGAGAAGCGGCAACTAGAGAATTAAAAGACATACAAACTAAAATACAAAAGGAGAAAGAGTCATTCAAGAATCAAGAGAGAGAATATGTCGAGCGGATAGAGAAAGAGAAACAGCAAGTTGAGAAATTATCTTCTGACCTCACAAGCACTAGAGAAGACTTGGAAAGAGCTAATAAGAGGATATCTGAACTGCAGAAAGACTTTACTGACAAGCAAAAAGAATTCACGGACAAACTGAACAAGTATTTAGAAGGTAAATGTACTTTTGTGACAGTTAATTTATGGTTATTTACATTTTTTTTTGCTATTATTTTAATTGAAATTTACCATCAGATGAAAAACATGCGATGAGGAAAGACATGGAGCCGTGCACACAATGCGAAAAACACATAAAGCGTATTCGATACTTGGATGACCAGCTCAGCAAATGCAGTGTTAAATTGGGTAAGCATACATACAAGTAACATCCAAAGTCTCAGCAGCTGACGCAATGCCTGTCTTATGTTTCATCATTTAAATATCGAAGCTTCTATCTGTGCCTTAAAACTGATTCGCCCCCTGTTCTAGAATATCCCACAAAATATATGTGATTTAGATCTGATTTAATATTTCCCTGCCTGATACAAATACACTACATAACTTTATACAACAATTCAACAGCATCCCAAGAGAGCAACGAAGAGCTAATGCAAGAGCTAAAAGGCAAGGCGGAGTTCTTCCAGCAGTACATAATGGAGCGGTTCCGCAAACTTCGCGAGCAACGTAGCGTGGGCACTAGTACTCATGAGCTGCAGGCTCCGCAGCAGCTGGGGCCGGCTGAGGAGGATAGGACCCCGGACGGCGATGACGACATCGCTGCTAAGGTCAGTCAGTACGCTACAAATGTACACTACACTACATGTATAGACTGTGCAACTATTTACTCTACGCTACATATTTAAACTACACATTATATTACGCTACAGATATACAATACGCTACACGTATACACTACGCAACTATTTACTCTACAGTGTAGAATCTACACCACACGTTACCACTACGCTACACTTTTTCACCACACTGTACATTTGTACCACGCTAATACATTTGCATTACGCTACACATTTGCATTACGCTACATATTTACACTACTGCACACATTATATTACGCTACACATTTGTACTACGCTACATGTTTATCTGCTATACATTTGAACTACGCAACATTTTAATTTGAGCTGATCTTCAGGTTAGCTGTAGGTTATGATGATTATGAGTGTTAAATAGATAACCTATTTCTTTTAAATCAGTTATGAATATGGCTTATTTTAATTTCATTTTTTGGCCTTTACAGACTGCTCTGATGATGAAGGAAAAAGCAATAAGAGATCAAATAGCCGAGAAGTTTACCTTAGAAATGAAAACAATGGAAATGAACTGCGCTCGGCGGATAAAAGAAATGGAGAACGATCATCTCGGGGCCATCACCAAGCTAAAGGAACTTCTAGAAAGAAAAGCGCAAGAAGTTGAAACACTCAAAGAGTTTATACTTTCCGAAAGAGGAAAAGTGACGCAAATATTGGAGGCGAAAGAGAACGAAATATCCGTGCTTATAAAGGAACACAATGAGTTGCAAGCTGAGTGTCAAAAAGCGAACGACAATGTCGTCGAGTGGCGCTTGAAAGCTGAGAGGTACAAAGAGAGAATATCCCGCCTTGGATCCCTCGAAGACGTGTTGAAACATGAACGGGAAGAGTGGAAGCAACGTAACTCTTCGTGCGCTAAAGAATGCCAAGCAGTGAAGACGAAATTAGCCGAGTTGCAGTCGAAAAACGCTCAGCTCGAGCGAAAATATGAAAAGATGCAAGCTGAACATATTACTCTGCAAGATAAATATAAGAATGTTAAGAAAACTGTTTTTACTTATAAGGTAAGTTATAAGGTTATTTGTGACAAATGTTTGCATTTATGGGCTTAGATTTTGATTTGTAATCACTGGCACTATCAAATTACTCTTACTGTGCTATATTCTGGAAGTTTTAGGGCGCCAATTTGCGCTATGCTACTTTAAGAGCGTTTACGCCGTTTGGCGCAAAAACAGTACTTTTTCAACTCGTTACAATCATTAACCAGTAATACTACAAATATGTTATAGGCATAAATAGTTAGGCAATTTCGTCGTCTAAATAGTTAATTGAGAAAATATTGCGATTAGTTTAGCATTTAAGAATTCTATCAAGATAAGTCCACACAGGTTTTGTAAATTTGCACTTTAGCGTCAGTTTACAAGCTGAAATTTTTNTTTTTTTTGTGCTGAACATAGGCTGTATAAAATATTCTCAAAATAGTAAAAAAACTTTGATAATTTACTATTTGATAAAGAATTTACGTATTTATTATTGATTAGGACTAATGTATACCATTATTTATAATTATGGAGTCGATGTTGGAAGATTTGAAGATTTTATAGTTTCCTTGAGCTGTCACTTGACAGACTGGCACACTTTTACTATGGTGGATCAAAGTATTTTGGTTTGACTATAGAGCGTGAGAACACGCACACAGTCATAATAATTTTAGTGTGAATAAAACTAGCATCGAAATTACCTAAACTTGACATGCCACGCTAGACGTAAACGCTCTTAAATCTTCCCATCATATTAACTCGTTAATTTTCAGCACCCGAAAAGAATAGTCACTAATCGATATTTTGCCTTTTGTCTATGGAAGCTGATTGTTTCTCATGTCTTAAAAAAATCTTTAATTTTTTTTTCTCAGGATTACATGGCGAAAAAGGACGCACACGTAAGCAACGAAATGAACAGGATACAGGACGAGTACAGGAAGATTTTCGTAAAGCTGCAGACTCAGATCAACTACCACGTCAACTGCCGCATCCAGGAAGAGCGCAGCAAGGGCAAGCCGGCGCAGGCGCAGCAGTACCAGCCGTGCGACGTGAGTATATGACGTAAACTTTATTTAGTTGTAATAGGTGCTATTTTTCAACGATATAATAAGGCTGAGTTGCACCATCTTACTTTGACTTTAACAAACGTCAAAAATCTGCCAAACTCCATATAAAAAGGCCGGATTTTGTTATAGTTTCTGTTAAAGTATGTTGGTGCAACTCAGCCTTATAATTTGTACTGTCGACTGTGCTATCCGGTTCATTCACCCTTCCATTTCATAAACAAAAACATGTTCAATTTAAAAACAAAATTAACTTTCCTGTTGTTAGGCATGTTCTCCCATATAAACCAACTGCAAAATTAAACTTGGTGGGGGATAACACTGATGTACAACCCTATTGAGCTAACTGCACACCTCCCCGCATTCGCCCCATCAAGCGAACGTCGATGTGACGTCACGGCTGCCATACCTGACAGTTTAAACTCGAGCTGGTTCTAGCTGTTTAACAACTTTTAGTTCAATTATTTGTGTTGCGAAACTTTTCTGCTTGCGTTTTTAAATTATATTGCTAGCTTTTCCGTTTTCTTATATTCACTAAAAAGTGATGCAGGTGATGGTAAGTTTCAAAAAATTATTAATCCCAATTTTTTTCCCAGCACAGTTAGTTTACTAATGAATGGTTGATGATTAGATAGGATTTTAGTTTGTACAATAAATGATAAAAAGAAAATCATTTTTTTAATTTCAGTATTCCGAAAAGCTGAAAAAGTTGAACGAAGACTTCGCTCGTCTCGCGCAATCGCGTTTCACGACGGACGCTCCAGATGTGAATCAGTGACCATTTGCCATAAAAACAGTACCAATCGATCTCCGTCCCTATACCCTTGGACAATAAGTTTATATTGTAGGGACCTTCTGCTCTTTTGCGGCTAAAGCAAATTACCCAATAGTAATTTACTATGTACTTACATTAGCATTAATTTCATCTCGAATATCGTGTCCAGAATTTTATTATCGGTGCATTTCTCGCGATAACAGGAAATCTGCTCAAATGTACGCTGCCCCTTTTATTAAAGATAAAGACTGTATATAACTTTTAATGAATCGCTATTGTCCCATTTACTGAATTTAAACCCAGTTCAATAATTTTAATGTGGTTTCATACTTGAGCCTGTATGGTTTTGACTGATTGTAAAACATATTTCCTAGTGATCATTCCATAGATCAAACCTTGAATATATCTGTGATAATTTAGTACATGGTGTAAATAGTTTATGAATTTAGATACAGTATTATTAGCAAAGAAGTGCAAAAGACTAATGTCTGAAGTGTCTTATAATTTTACATTCCTTTTGATTCCATTAGTATCCTTGTCTACGCGATGACGTCACTGTACATTATTTAGAAATAATACGTTATTGCTCAAACAAACAATAAATTGTTAACTGTTTCGTTTCTTATCAATTTAAACATTTATTTCATTAGCTTATTGATGTAATTAAGTAGACGATTGTGTCGGTTATTATGTTTGTGAAACAAATATAAATAAAACTATTATTTTAAATATTAAAATAGTTTTTTATTTCTTAATATAGTATTTCGACGGCACAAATGGCATTTTTGCAACTACACAGGCGTTGTCCTTTCCTCTTACGTTTACTAACAATTCTGTACCGTTTTTCTTGAGTGTTTCTACGACATAACCCATGGCAACGTTGCCACCAAGAGAAGGGCTCGGGCAGCCACTCGTCACTTTGCCTATCACCTCAGAGGTTTTTGGATTTTTGAGTAACGCATCTTTTCTTGCAGGAGCACCAGATTCCATTCTAATACCAATCCTCCTTTTGTTTACGCCTTCCTTTATTTGTTGAAGTATGATGTCCGCTCCAGGGAAGTTGGCCTCGGTCCTCCTTCTCTTGGCAATTAGCCAGGTCAAGCTGGCCTCCACAGGAGTCACTGCTTCATCAATGTCGTTACCGTACAGGCACAACCCCGCCTCGAGGCGAAGCGAGTCTCGCGCACCCAAACCAGCTAGTTTGACGTCGTTGCATTTCAGCAACGACTCTGTCACAACTTCAGCTTTATCTGCTGGTATAGATATTTCCACCCCGTCTTCTCCGGTGTATCCACACCGAGTGACCCGGCACTCTACTCCTGCTACTGAACCAACAGTAGAGGTCATAAAAGTAAGATTGTTTAGCGAAAATTTCGTAAGAGTTTGCACAGCTGCTGCCGCTTTGGGACCTTGAACAGCTATAAGTGCTCTTTCACCGACATCCCAAAATTCAACATTGACATCTTTGCCCTTTCGACTGAACACTTCCGATGTTTGTTTCATGTGATTTTTATCAACTTCCAACCTTCCCGCGTTAGAAACAATGTAAAGTGTTTCGTCATTTACTTTTGTGACTATCAAATCGTCTATTATTCCACCGTTGGGGTTTAAAAATACGGTGAGAGAACTCGTGCCAGGTGCCATACCTTTTAGGTCTACAGGCGTAATCGATTCGAACCATTCGATGCAATCCTTACCTCGAACGTTTGTCTGCAGCATGTGAGAGACGTCAAATATCGAGGCACTTTTCCGAGTATACAAGTGCGAAGCAGATACACTCATATCCGAATACTGGACGGGTAACATGAAACCGGCGAAATCTACTAACTTTCCGCCATATTTATTATGCAAATCGTACAAGGGTGTTTTTATCGCTGGTTTACCGCTATCACTGTATGAACGTAACAAGTTAATCCGTTTTGACTGTATGAAAGAAGAAAATATAACGCGATTCAGGTTTTTTGTAGTCATTTTCACTGATTGATGTGTTACGTGATGTAACATAACAGCAACTGAACAACTTTGTTTGGGTCTCCTAGGAGTTATCAGTCTGTCATAAGACGGGTCAGAGGGTCAGGCGAAAATAGTAGCGATAACGGCGATAGCCTAATGATAATTAGTGTACAAACATTAAAGAAAACAAAATATAATAAACAGTCTTCTTTTGAGAAATATTTTTCTCATATTAAGTTTCAATAATAGAAGTTGACTGTACTTTGCACAAAACATTATAGGCTTCTATTATTTATTAGAAGTTAATAGTTATGTATTTATTTATTTTATTTTATTTTAATTACACAGGTTTATACCTTATTACGTAATTAAATAGTTAGGTAACAACAAACAATAAAAACATCTTAAAGACTAAAGAGAACACTGCTCACAAAAGTAATAAATAAATATAATAAATAAATGAAAACAAGTTAGCTATACAAAATATTTAATAATTAACAACTATCTTTATTTCTTATTAATGACATATAATCTTCATGTGTCAGTAATTCATTCTTTGTGGATTCCGAAACCTTAATACTGGACAAGATAATGGCGATGAATCCATCAGAGTCGGGCATTTCTCTCAGCAACTCGGGCTGCTCAACTAAACTTTCATTTATTTCAATCAATGTGCCTTTAACACAAGATGGTACTTTGAAAGATGTTTCATCGTCAAATACTTCACAAATTGTTGAATTCTTTTCCAAATACTGTCCTCCTTTCTTGCCTTTGCCTTTCACAGAGTTTTGAAGTCTATCCACTGCGCCTATACTAAAGTTAATCCTGTATTTCTTACTACTCTTGAAAAAGAAGTGGCTTGGTGCCAAGCTTAGTAGCATGATTCTGTTAGAATGAAACATTAACATCAAATCATTGTTCTGTATTCCACCATAATTTTTGATGTATCTCTTACTGAAGTATCGGTCGGTAAAAGATTTGGTTGTAGACAAATCTGGTATAGAATCAAGTATTTGGAAATCCATTATTTGTTCTATTACTTCTGTTATCTATTGCGCCTGTTTGGCCTGCTCCTGTGCTAGTATTCGCGCGCGAATTTCTGCGTGTCGTCGCCGCGAGGCCTCGGCGTTCTCTTTCTGGCGCTGAAGTCGTTCTCCTTTCAAGCACTTTCTCATATGCCGGTCATAGTCGTTGCAGTAGCCCATGAACTTTCTGAAGGGATGCTGAAATTTTATGAAAACATTTAAGTAACTTTGTAATTAACATTTTGAGGTTATAAAAGCTACTACATTAAGATTTCACGAAAAAATCAGCGAAACTAAAAGATATTTGTACATTAATTCATTAAAGAGCCTTTTTTATAAAACAAACGTGATAAGAACACGATAATGTTATGCAACTTCTTACAAACCTCTGCATGACAATCTTGAAGAATTTTAATTAGAACATTGCATTCTTCTGTGTGTAAATGCGGTGCTAGGTCTGTGTGCATAACTTAGTCGTTATTTATTGAGCTAATACAATAAAAATTACAAATAAATAAATGCGTGCAAATTAACAGCCTATCAGAAATTATCTGTCAGTCACAAATGTCAAAGCTGTCAAATTAACGAGTAACTACTTTTTTTTTAAGGCATTGGTGCGGCCTGCATTTAGCCAGTGTCAAGATAAGATGAGCGCCAGCTCCTCACATTTCTAGCGATATATTTTGTATTTAAAGGCACTGGGTCTCTATCAGAAGGAACTCTAGGGGTGGAATCTCCATAGGCGTGGATTAACGGGCAAGGAGATAATATCTTGGATGGTCGACAATCACTTTTCTTACAATTTAACGTTCCACCAAACTCAACACGCTCTCCTAGATAACCTCGCAGCCGCCTGCTCACACTTGACATGACACAACTGAATGACAGTTATCTTTTTCTGCGCATCAGTCGGGTGTTACGTTTAGGAATCACCTGGCGATCTTGTTCTCGATGCGCTTGTCGATGGCCAGGCGCAGGTTTCGCAGGACCATGTAAATGACTCGCAGGACCTTGTGTTCTGTTACTTCTGTTCAAGATGGTCATAGGCCTAGGTTTGTTACTACACTCACCGCAAACCGCCTAGCGCTGGCGATCTTGTTCTCGATGCGCTTGTCGATGGCCAGGCGCAGGTGTCGCAGGACCATGTAAATGACTCGCAGGACCATGTGTTCTGTTACTTCTGTTCAAGATGGTCATAGGCCTAGGTTTGTTACTACACTCACCGCAAACCGCCTTGCGCTGGCGATCTTGTTCTCGATGCGCTTGTCGACGGCCTGGTGCAGGTCTCGCAGGCAGGACCATGCGTTTTGTTCAAGATTGTCATAAGTAGCGACCACAGCGACACCGTGTACATCACCGGAGTACTAGTCTACACTCACCGCAAACCGTCTAGCGCTGGCGATCTAGTGTTCTCGATGCGCTTGTCGATATCCTAGAGCAGGTCTCGCAGGACCATGCGTTTTTTCAAGATTGTCATTGATACACCTAGTCTGTTACTCTCAAAGCAAACCGCCTAGCACTGGCGATCTTGTTTTCGATGCGCTTGTCGATGGCCTGGCGTAGGTTTCGCAGGACCATGCGTTTTGTTCAAGATTGTCATGAGCCTAGTAGTCCAGTCAATGAATGCCTTAACGACGGTGTAGAGAGAAATCCGTGGAACACAATTTCTGACCTCGGGACTTTATTTAGCCTAGTTAGGTGGTGAACATAGCAAAAGTCCCCGCCCTTAGCCCTTGAGCCGGCGGGGAGAGAGGGGTTTAAAAGTACCACTTTTTGGTTTTTCGCTTAATCCTCGGTAACTATGCGTCCTAGTGACATGACTACTATGAACCAAAAAAAGCTTATTCAATTTGCTACAGGTGAGACTGTCAAGTTTTTCTATATCTTGTATAGTTTTTGCGGCATCTGCTCTAGAAGGACTGTAAAATTGGAAATTTTATTGNAATAACTTATCTTATTAACATTATTGTTACTCAAATATAGCATTATGGTGTAATATAATGTGTCTTACAGTAACCATGAGTACACAATAATTATGTTTAACAATAATAATTAATTGAAGTATCAATCATTATAAGAATACCAAAAATATACCACGTTCTCAACTGCATAACTGGCTGCTTTACTTAATTTCAATTACTCAATAATTAAGCACAATATTCGATGCTATCTCATCTTGTAGTACTCAATATCATGAAAGAAACATCATGATACTAAAACTGATTTACACAACACAGATCTTAACTTCAATTTACTTGGATAAAACTAATTATTAATTTTTCTCCAAAATAATGCCAAGAGGTTACTCGGGCATGATCACCAAACTTATTCAATTTATCTGACCATATTCTATCTATTCTTTATTGATTTTAAATCTCAACAGGTTATTCTTCGCAGAATGCAAACATGAACAAATGAACACCGTTCAATTTAATTTGCTTTACTAAAATAACTTATTTGGCATTGAAATTAAAGTGAGCACATACCATAGCTTTCACACACATTCCTGGCATTATCAGTAAAGACTGACAATACTTATAACATTTGTTGCATCATTCACTTCCATGCATTATTTTGCTCAAAAGGAAATGTGTTAATATTGTTGCTGTTAGAATATTCGATAGCAATAATGAATCGTACCTGCTCTGGGGCCATCGTTAGTCAAATTGTTCACCACTTACGTGACCACAAGCCAAGTTACGGAGGGAGTATCTTCATAATTTGCGTCTATCATTTCTCGTACTTAAATACTTTTCTGCATCTCACACCTTTGTCAGCGTGGTTTCCTTGACATTCTCTCTTCATCATATTCAATTATAACCATAGAATCGTGGGCGTTTTGTGATAACATTCGTGACAAATAACACGAAACATTGGTCACCTGGAACACTTTGAAATCACGTTACTATCATAGGTTTCAGATCCCACTTCTGATAAAGGCACTGGGTCTCTATCAGAAGGAACTCTAGGGGTGGAATCTCCATAGGCGTGGATTAACGGGCAAGGAGATAATATCTTGGATGGTCGACAATCACTTTTCTTACAATTTAACGTTCCACCAAACTCAACACGCTCTCCTAGATAACCTCGCAGCCGCCTGCTCACACTTGACATGACACAACTGAATGACAGTTATCTTTTTCTGCGCATCAGTCGGGTGTTACGTTTAGGAATCACAAACCTTCCGCTCTACAGATTTATACAGATAACATAATATTAAGATTGGTACTATTAATCATCAATAATCATTTGCAGCATCTGTGTCCGGCGCCGACATATTTATTTGCTAAATAGATATAGAATGATATTCATGAATCAACATGATAATCTCCCCTCTCTCCTTGAGTTTCTTGAGCATTCAGTAAAGATATTGCCTACCTAAGGTACCTATATTTTATGAACCTCCAACTTTTTAACTGACTTCAACATAATCACTGATGCATGTGCACGAATTCAGATGAAGCATCAAGAATAAGATGCACCTTAGTTCAGTCTAAGGCTTTCGGAATACTTTGATGTTTGTTCCAGTTTCAATAATTTTTACCTATAGAAAAGTAACTGCACAAATTACTTTATTTTCTATAGTAAGTTGAATTTATTATTTATTTTGAACTAATCCTTGCTTATTAGGTAGGTATACTAAAATACATGTTGGGAATAAATAAAACAACAATTTTATTTTATATTTACTTAAATAGTCACATTGTCTCATTATAACTAACAAAGAAGTAAGGTAGAGACCGCGTAGCATGGGATTAGTCCTAATGTAGTAGGAACTCCTCAACTTCAATAAATAAAGTAACAAATTCACTAACAAACTTTAACATAATGACTAGATTAAATCGTATTTTTGAGTTGTATAAAAAGTGTTAATAGGAAACTGGAAGATGTCTTGCATTTTACCGTCTATCACCACTATAATAAACGCACGAAGAAAATCACATATCCATACAGCACGTCGCTCACCGCAAAATAGGAACAAGCAAATATTTAAGCAAATTAATACGAATAAATACAAAATGCGTTGTAACAAAAAAGTTGTGTTTGGATGCCCAATTAAGAAATGCAAAATGTGCCCAAAAGAAATGTGTCCAATAGAATTAAAAAGCGGGTGTTAAGTGTGGCGCGGGTTTCGTTCGTTCGCATCAACTCTTGGGCATGCCCTGGGGGGTGGCGGTCTCGACCATCTTCTTGTACTTGCCGACCAGCTCGGGCAGGTCGTAGGCGATGGCGACGTCCAGCCGCGTGATGGGGCAGCCGCGGAAGTACGTGCACGTGGCCGACAGCTGCTGGAACTCGTACAGCGGGTTGAGACGGAAGAAGTCTCGGTACGTCTCCGGGTCTGGTAAGTCGTACCTGCAATGATTATTTACAAATGAAATATAGTTACAGCGATGTCTACTAGGTCGTCGTTTCAGCCAAATGATGTCCACTGCTGGACAAAGGCCTCCCCCAAGGATTTCCACAACTGCTAATAGTAGATAGATACTGATTAATCTCCCTGTCTGTTGTATTTTTATGCAAGGAAAATATCGTAACCATTTGGCATTTAACTTAACACCATTGTTCCTCTCTTTGTCACTCTAATCTTCTCTGACTTATGGCTCTTTTGAAGTTCTATTACCTAGTTTCATATTTGTTTACGTACCTTGAGATGTTAGTGAGGGTACTGAGTCCCTCGTAGATGTGGTAGTTTTGAGGGTTCTCAATGATGGCGTCGGCAATGAGTTTCTTATTGCCGAATATGGTCTTGTGGTTGTAGTATGTGGTCAGGTAGCAGTCTACCATCTTCGCGTGATTTCGGACGCGCACCTGAAAACAAAAAAATATATTTTAAAAATCCAGTACCTACCTTAAACTCTAGCTTAGTGCTGGTGCAATGCAGCATTACATTTTTTAATCTAAATTATCGATATTGGCATTAGCCGCTAGTTTCGAGTTTTAAGGCACCACACGTCCCAAGACTTGCAAGTTCTTTGTAATAAAATTGCCAGCGATCTTCTGATTCTTCATTGACCTTGGTGCCTGTTCATATCATATAGAAGCATAGCTTCTGGCAGTGGCGGCATAGCATGGGTTGGCACCCGGGGCGGTACCCAATCGTGTAATCTCACAAAACCGCGGCCGCGTCGTATGACCACGCGGCCGAACATTATAAGGGCCTTATAAGCAAAATACCCCATATTAGTATTTTACTACAGTCTCTACACTCACCGCAAACCGCCTAGCGCTGACGCCGCTGACGGACGATCTTGTTTTCGATGGCATGGAGCAGGTCTCGCAGGACCATGCGTTTTGTTCAAGATTGTCATGAGCCTAGTTTATTCCTAACTCACCGCAAACCGCCTAGCGCTGGCGATCTTGTTCTCGATGCGCTTGTCGACGGCCTGGCGCAGGTCTCGCAACACCATGTTTTTTGTTCAAGATTGTCATAAGTAGCGACCACAGCGACACCGTGTACATCACCGGAGTACTAGTCTACACTCACCGCAAACCGTCTAGCGCTGGCGATCTAGTGTTCTCGAGAGCAGGTCTCGCAGGACCATGCGTTTT